TTGGCGTTGGCAAGCAGAGAGGAACACAGTTCGTGTCCATTTAGCTTGTATATGAACACGAGTTGTGTTTATTTTTTCAAAAACTTACATCTAAAATTTCTTCGCGAACACGGGTCGTGTCAGTTTACTACAAATCAACACGGGTCGTGTTCGAAGTTCAATGCCATTTTCAGCCTTTTTTGCTGAACATGGGACGTGTCAGATTAGTGCAAATCAGCACGGGCCGTGTTCACGCACCAACAATTTTTCTTTTTTTGCGTTAAGTGTCCAATACGTTTTTTTATTACCCCATTCACCCATAACTGGCCCCAAAACAATTTCTCTCTTCCAAGAACCCCTAGGCCTGAAACCGTCACAACTTTTTTTATGGGTGCTTTTGTGCTTGATACTTCACGTAAACAAGCTTGGGGAGGTTGAATAGAAGGTTCTCACCACCAACTGCAAGGCTCCAAGAACGATTCGGTAAATTCTTTCCATATCTTTAATCGTTTATATTTTGCTTAAAAAAGAAATTGGCATGCACTTGTGACTGTTTTAGACTCTTTCCCAACCCGACTACCATCCCCCCATGACCTTCTGGTGATTTGCTAGGATAGCCCTCTCCGAGCATCGAGGGCGATGCTTATATTCAAGCTTGGGGAGAGGTAGTTTTGTACATTAGGATTCATCTTCATGCATTTCATTTGCATAAAAAAAAAGATTTTAACTTTCTTATTTTCATTTTTTTATCGTGCATTTTGCAAATTAAATTTACAAAACCAAAAAGATTTTCTTTCTATATTAGTTTTAAAGTTTTTGCATTGCAAAAAAAAATCAAATCAATCCATCAATCATAAGGGGTGCGAGTAGTTGACCGCTTTAAGGTCCAAACACATAATAAATAATAATAAATAAATAAATAGTAATAAATAAAAATAAAATAACTCCTCACTTCAGATATCCCGTATTGATAGACCCGAAGGCGTCCTCCTTGTTATGGGTTTGGCAACTCAAAAATCGAGGGTAGATGACTTTCCGTGTCGAGTTATGGAGTGCAGGAGGGTAAAACAACTTTTGAAAATACCGCGCTCTTTAAAACCCGATGTTTAACGCTAACTCCTGTTTGAAACAACCGGGCAACCATCTTTAGAATCACTTTGGGGTAGACCTCTTAAAGGTGGATTTCATTGCACCCACCCGTTCACATGTCGTCTGAAGCATTGAAGACTTGTTTGGCCATTGCACTAACCGGACCAAAAATCAATACGAGCAAATGATTCAAGAGCCAATAAAGCTACAACTGAAGAAAGAATTCACAAGCCAACTCTTACATCAAAGAGATTTAGAAGCAAAGCAAGCCAAATCAAAGAAGGCAATCTAGAAAAAAGCAACTTGAAGAAGAGAAAGACAAAGTTCAAGAAAATAAAGTCAAAGAACTCAAGTTGAAGATCAAAGACGCGAGCGACACAAGACCTCAGGTGGATGCAATGGTTGGCACCTTTGGGAGTAAACCTGAGATGGACAATGAGTATTGGGATGGAATGCAAGGTTGGTGCAACCATGAGTATCCTGAGGGAGTTTTAGAAGCGGTCCCTATTAAAAAATATGACACCCTTCCAAATGAAGTAACTTAACATCAGGGTTGTTTACATTTTCAAAAACACTGAATTGATGACTTTCACATGGAATCTCACAACCCTCTCACTTTGAACTTCGGGCCCATGATTGTCCTTTAAAGGACAATGTCCAAGGTTAGACTCTATTGAGACTTTCTTGAAGTGAGAACAATAAATGGACAATATTTTCTGTTTGGATAATTGGCAATTGACTATCATACCCCTGGTGATCGAAGTAGAAAGAATTGTGAAACTTGAAACAAAACAAAACAAAAAAAAAAATTGTTTTTATTTTGAATTTTTTAGCTTGTTTTCTTAGTTTCTTTTGTACATATGCTATTTTCTTTGTATATATCGCATGCATTCGTCTTAGCTCTTTTAGGATCTTTTCGTCTCCTTTTTGTTCTCTGTTTCTTTTTGCCATCTAGAAATCGTCATGTTTTGTCCGATTCTTGTTCTTTCTTGAGGGCAAGAAAGGTATAAGCTTGGGGAGATTTGTTAGGTGCACCTTGCTCCACATCTTTTCGTCCATTTTATGCATCCTTTTAGTGTAGTTTACTTCCTTTTATACGCATTTCATTATAAGTCATGTTACTTTCTAGAACAACCTTATTTGCACATTTTTATGATCTTTTCAAGTGATCCGGAGGTGGAAACGCCCTTTGGGAGGTGCCGGGAAGCACGGGTGAAGATGGCGGGATGATTGGACGCGAAACGAAGAAATTGAAAAAAATCAAGTTTGCATTTAGAAGCAGATGTGGGCACGGGTCGTGTTGGATTTGCACTAAAAAAATGAGCGCGGGGCGTTTTTGACCAAAAAAGGAGTCGTTTACCATGCTGAACACGACCCATGTTGATTTAGCCTATTTTGACACGGGCCGTGTTGGTCCAGTTTTGCATTTTTTGAGAAACTTATTTTGGAAGAAGACCCAAGGATGGCATGCCAATTTCCACTCGACACGACCCACGTTGATTTACTCTATTTTGACACGTGTCGTGTTTGGCCCAAAAAAACTGCCTTTGGTAGTTTCTCCTTTTTACTCTATAATGGGATTTGACACAAGACACACTTAGACTTCATTTCCAGATCACATGAGAAGAGAAATTTTGAAGGTTTTTGCAAGGTTTCGATTGTAATCATTTGGAAACATTTGTCTTTGGATTTGTAAGTCTCGTATGCGGATTATTTCATCTTTTCAAGACTTGTTGATTGTTCTAGCCATGTGTGGCTAGAACCCTAGTTTCTCCAACTTCATGTTTTGACTTTTTAGTTGTGATTTCAATCATATGACTTGATGTTTGCTTTCAGTTTCTATCTAGTGAATTTGATTTTGTCTTAATCGAATGTTTGATTCTAATTGTAATTCATATTGGCCATTTGAATTAGGGTTAGGTCATTCTAGTTATCTAATTGCAGAATCCGTAATTGTTTTGTAAATTGGACCAAGTAACAAGCGCTAAACTGATTTCCATTGAATGAATTTAGTGTAAATCTTATCCACACACTCTTACGCTCCCGAGCATGTGAGGAGTATTGAGTGTTGTTGGGAACATTCACATAAAGCTTACTGCAACCTTTTGATTTCTATCTAAGAGCTTGTTTAGACTTAAAATTGAAGGTTAGGTTATTTTCAAAGAGTTTATTTTGAATTCGACAACTTGGTGAATGAGAAGTGTTAAAGCTTGTTAACACTTTTAAGTATCAACTTAGGTAGAATTGAGTGCATGTCATGTCATCTTTGAATCACATTGCTAGATTGGCTTACATAGAGTTGGAGTCTTTCATAAATTCTGATTTTTTTTTCAATTAGTTAACCTCTTGCTTGTTTCTTCAATCTTTGAATTGAATTATTGTTTACAAACCCCACCCCCTTTTTTACTTTTGGTGACCAAATTACCTTGCGCATAGAGGTATAGACTGATTGTCCCATGTCTCTGTGGTTCGACTCTGCTTGCCTTGTATTACCTTCATAGTGCATTAAATCAGTGTATTTGGAATATATTGTACCCCTATCATTTGTTAGGTTTGACACGCCTAACACGCCTTCACAACAGCGTGGCGCGCCCATGACGTATTTTCCAAGTTATCTTGTCTGAAGCTATTGTCATGCATATAAATACCGCTATTTATTACAGACTATTGGAGACGATCAAAAACCCTTTCCATATGATTTTCTGGTTTTTCTGCACTTTTTCATCCATTTCTGAAGATCTAAAGACTATGGATCGATTTTCTTAGTTAGTTTAGTAAGATTTAATTATTTAGTCTTTCTTTTTAGCTTTAGATCGTTTTTAGCCATGCTCGACTAAAAAACATAGCTTTAGATCGTTTTTATCATATTTTAATTGGATCGTATTCGTGTTACTAAAGCAAAACTCGACTTCGTGTCTTGTTCGTATTATATAAAACATTATCGTGTTGTATCGTGTCAGTTAAAACACGTCAGGACTGCCGTGCGTAAATATGACATCAAATATACATATCCATTGATGCTGTGAAATTGGCTCATTGCATCGATTATTGATTTGTATCAAAATATCATAATAGGATCATGATAGAGCTACACAGAATATGCCATTTGTCAGTCCAATTATGTTAATTTTGGTCCATAACAGATTTCTCATTTATAAAGTAAGTAATCTATAAAGGCCAATGAATTTATTCGTCAAAAAACAAACAGTAAAAAATAGTATGTCATAAATAATATGGTTTTCTCATTTATCAGTTAAAAACACATCAGGATTGCCCGTGCGTACATATGACATCAAATATACATACCCATCGATACCGTGAAATTGGCCCATTGCATCGATATTGATTTGTATCATAATAGGATCATGATAGAGCTACACGAAATATGTCATTTGTTAGTCCAATTATGTTAATTTTGGTCCACAATAGATTTCTCATTTATAAAGTAAGTAATCTATAAAGCCCAATAAATTTATTTGACAAAAAACAAACAGTGAAAAATAGTATGTCATAAATAGTATGCTTTTCTCATTTATCGTGTTGTATCTTATCAGTTAAAAACACGTCACGACTATCCTTGCATAAATATGACATCAAATATACATACCCATCGATACTGTGAAATTAGCTCATTGCATTGATTATTGATTTGTATCAAAATAATATGATCATTATGTTAATTTTGGTCCACAATAGATTTCTCATTTATAAAATAAGTAATCTATAAAGCCCAATGAATTTATTGGTCAAAAAAACATAAATAATATGGTTTTCACCAAAAAATACAGGTACAAATCACAATACTTCAATTGATAGATCATACCAAATATCACAATACGATAACATCCAACATAAAGACCAAGTAACGACTTATCATTCTTCCTCACAAACTTCGACAAAATAAATGTCGATCCAATTTTATGAAATCCAGATCAAGAACTGTTGGCGATTCTAGCAGCTTCGTGATCGGCGGCCACTTTGAAAAAACTGTTTTCATCTTCCACCGCCATCTGAATCGGCGACGATCCGAGTCCATCGGCAACAGCGAGCATGATATTCTTCACTTCCGATCTGAACTCATCAATGTCAACCGTGCCATTGTTGTCTTCATCGAAGCTTCGGAAAATCGACTCATACAGCAGCGTTACTTCCTCCGGTGGCGTAGCCTTATCCACACCAAAATCTGTCTCTAGAAACCGCGTTGTCTCGAAGGCTTTTCGCATCTCGGATCTCGATAAAACCCCGTCTTTGTTGGTATCGAGAAGCACGAATTGCTTGTCCACGGCGGTTCTGAACTGAACGTCGTCGTTCACAAAAGCTTGCACCGTTGGTCCGTCGATGATTATCACCCCCATTTCGTTGTGTTTTTGTATCTGCAAATGCAAACTGTGAAAATACGAGAAGAATTGTGATTTGTGAATTGCAGAGACGATGACGGAAGAATTTATGAAGACCAGTTATGAAATTTGGCAAACTTTCATCTCGGGTTTTATGATTCTCCTTTTTACGTCCTTCTACTTTGAATATAACAACGGATCTCATTTTTAATGCTTAAATTTAATTATATGATGTAGTTTATGGTTTTTACTTTAAATCACACCACAATGTTAACACCCCTAATACACTATACTATAGAAGTTTAGGTGCAAAACTAGACCTAGGTAGAAAGTGTATGGGTCATTGTGTTAGTTCTTTATAATAATCGATTTTTATATATTATTATTATTGGTTATATCGCAACGTATGCTTTTGTTTGTTAAATCTGCCACGCATATCACATTGCTCGCGTGGATCAATAAAAACTCATTAATCTAATGCGAAGCATATTTGGCTATGAGAGTAAACATGTTGGGTTGACCCATGCTTGACCTAGATTCAACATAGGGTTAGCTGATAATACAACGAATCATTTTAGTGTAAGTTCCGACTTGGTTTGAAAAAGATTGAAAACCCTCACATCAAATCCGGATATTGTACTCGAAGTTCACAATGTTTTGCAAACTATAATATTGGGGATGAATTTATTATTATCTGATAACATTATTTAATTCTTAGAGAGATTTGAGTCTCACTATAAGACTTCAATCGATGTTGGTAAAAGATTAAAGTTGGCTTGAGAGAATTTGAGTGAGATCCTTTGACTGAGACATAAGAAAATTATAAATTTGTGGTAATTTTTTGGAAAGATATCGTATAAGAAGACGTTGATGTAGAGTAGATTGAAGATTTAGCCAATACATTCATAAACAATAGAAAAACTGAGCCTAAAAAATACACAACTAAAAACATACGTAACTTAACATACGTAACTTTTGATCTGTCAGGTTTGGAGGCCTATGATATATTGTCGGAAAAGAGCTCCTAAGGCCACTCGGAGTGGCTTCGGCAAGCACTTTGCTATCTCGGCGAACACCGGGCCGAACCCTCGGCATGCCGAGTTCGGCTCTGCAACTCAGGTAATAGTTACGGATGAGAGAGAGTGTATTGGGTTAAATGCTTGTAAACGTCGGAGGGTCCTTGTGACCATTTTTTTAAAAAAAAAAAAAAAAAATCAAAAATCCTCCTTTTTACCCGATATAAATACCACTACCTCTTATATTTTATCCCACTTTACCATCTTCATATTTTCACTCAACATAATACAATTCTTGTGAAAAAATGGCTTCCCCTTTCAACCCAAAAGCTTAAAAAAATACCAAAAGAAACACCCAAAACCTAAACATCTACCTTCTTCAACAAATTTCGTTCAAAATCAAAGCGATTGTCCAATTTATTCTCCAACAAATTTACACTTTGGTGGTGTTTACTACCTATTTCAAGACCAAAACCAACCTAACTACCAAAATCAAGTACAATACCAAAACCAACATCAATTCCAAAACCATCCACAATTTCAAAGACAATTCCATTTCAAAACCAAACACAAATGAACTTCTCATCCCAAATTGAAAATGAATTTAATCCATTTGATGATCTTCCCGACTCCCCCAATGAATTTCCAAACCGAATTCCAAAGTCAAGGGGAACCCGAAGTCGTCCCCGAAACGGAATCGGAGCCGGAAGAGAATCCACCACAACCCAAAAAAAGTGGAAGGGCGGATCCAAAGCAATGGACGCCGGCCGAAGAAAAGACGTTAGCTCGTGCGTGGGTGGATGTTTCTGAAGATCCGGTGATCGGAAACAACCAAAATTGTCCAACTTTTTTCCGAAAAATTACACGGCATTTTCTCAACGAGATGAATCTTAGAGACTACTGGAAAAAGACCAAATTCATTCCTAGTGGATAAATGTCAACACAGTGGTGATGTAATGGGGTGTTTTCGAGTGTCAAACGACAATGGCAAAGTGGTGCAAACGACGAAACTATTTTGCAAAAAAAACTCTTGAAGTGTACCGGAATCAGAAAGGGACCAATTTCAAATTTCTACACGTTTGGAATATTTTGAAATTGTCAAAAAAATGGCAACGGGTTGACGATTTTGAAAACTTTACGGGTGGTTCTTCTAAAAGAACCAAAACATCTGAAACAACACATAGTCAATCGTCCGATGCGCATGTCGGGATCAACCTCAGTGACGAGGAGCCTAGTGGGGTTGCAAGAGTCACTCGTCTCATGGGAAGAGATGCATCCAAGCGAAAGGGAAAATCGGCGACAAGTGGTTCAGGATGTGCTTCGGGCGACATCGACCAACTAACAACCAAAATGGACAACTTGAAGTCGTCTTTGGAACAGTATTTGGCGGTCGCACAAGAGAAATAAGAAAACTGTGCCATGGTGATCTTAACGAGAGACACTAGCGCTCTCATTGTGCGTGAAAAAGAAATGGCGATAAAAGCGAAAGAGGAGGTCGCGAAAAAAATACATCTAAGTTTCGGTATTTTAAGTTTGTGGTTTCGTTATTTAAATTTCTATGTTTTTTTTAATGGTTTCTAGGTTTGTAATTTGAAATTCTATGTATTTTTGTGCTGTAATTTTATTTTCTATTAAATGAAATTTTAGTTTTAAAAAAAAAAAAATATGTTTGAAATGTTTATTTTTTGAAATTAATTAATTTTTTTTTTAAAATATATCATGGCAAGTGTGACAACTCATGCCATGAAAATTACAAAAATTTGAAGGAGTATGACAAATCTGACATGACACCTACGTGGACCGTGACATGTATGGCACCACTCCCACCAGCCTAACAAGAAACCGAAGCCGGATTGCCCTCTCGTCATCACCGAATTCCTCCGTTTATGACCTCAAGTTTAACTTTCTTGAAGTTTCAACTCATTTGCTTTTGTTTTATTCTATTTTTTATGTCAAAACTAGATGAGTCTCCACGTGTTACGCGAGAATATAATTATATAGTTAAAATAATAACAAATATATGCCTTTAAAATATCCACGAAGCCGTATGATAAAACAGATTAATGTTAATATAAAAGTTGAATATTTATAAACAATTAAAGTATTATTGAAATCCGAACTATCAACCACATTATATACATACAAACGATCATACAAAACCCTAACTAATATTGAGTCAAGCACAACTACTCAAACTGACTATCAATAAGGGTCCATACTAGCGGAGGTTCCATTACATGAGATCCTCCATGTTATTTAAGATGACCCGCCATGTGATATCATTGAATCTAAAATCGGAGCTGAAATTCATTGTATAGTTGATCAAACTATAATGACACATACAATCAATAATGAGTTTTTGGATTAGCGATCAAACTGATTATTGAGTGTTGATGCATATCGTTTATAAAAATATCATTAATGAGATATTTGGATATACTAAATATTAATAAGTAAATGTAACTGATATTTAGAATAAATTATAAGGAATACGTTAATGGAAGGCGAGCAAAAACAACCATCAATGCAAGGTCAAAGTATATATCTATAACTTTTAAGAATTCACTAACTTATGAAAATATTTTTCCAAAAAACTGACTTGAAAAATCAACACAACTATATTGTCGGTTCAAAAGTTAAAAAATGATACGTAAAAAATAATAATAAACAAAAATAAAAGTCATATGGTGCAATACAAACATGTTGCCCAAAAAACCTTAACCTAGGTTTAAATATATCTTCCATGAATAAGACAACCAATATTTGTCAACCGGTGAATGGAGTATAATTAATTACTAAATTGATTAGTGTCTTTTTTTTATATATTTATAATGGACTTCAAATGGTTAGTGTGAATGGATATTCACGTATGTGTTAGCTATTTTAGTTCACCAATTTCAGGGTAAGCACATCCTGCAACCTGTTCCACCTTAAATTACTTGAAAAAGATGTCATACATCGGTAAAAATGTTGAAAATTATATGATAAAGGTTGAGAATGATATTATAAAGCTTCCTTCATTTTAAATAGAAGTAAGGAGAAAGTGATTGATAATAATGAATCAAGTATACGATCATACCATAACCTAAAATGCTTTAAACACCCAATTTGAGGTGGAATTGGTCCAATCAACTTATTGTTGTGGAGATCCCTGTAGAAATGTCAAAATAATTCATCACAAAAGTCAACACCAACACCCATGACTACATGGGTGACTACATGGTAACAGAAAAGAGTCTTAAAGTATGTTAATATTCAAAATATTAGTCATATAAGTAGGGAAAGGTCGTATGGCTGACATTGCATATACTTCCCTAGAATTACACGGTTGAAGCCAATGTTAGACAATTTCAGATGATTTGCATAAATTTGTAAGTATTTTTAGTAATATATGAATTCAAGCCACATTGAGGTTATACTTACGGTTCAGTAATTACTCTATAATCACCTTGTGCGGAGCAAGTGACTCCAGACCAGGCTGGGATGATCTCTAACCCATGAATACATCACCCTCTATCATGCGAGAAAGAAGTATAACTACATTGCTATTATGGGTTACATATTGATGTTTTCACTAAAAATTTAAGCATGTTGTTATTACTGGTAAAAAAATGTTTAATATATTATCGTTATGGGTAAAAACAAAGCACGTTGTCCATATTAGTAAAAGTTAAAAAAAAATCCAAAAGTAACATGATTATGGGTAAAAACAAAAAAGTTTAGTATATTGTCATTATGGTTAAAAACAAATCACATTGTCCATATTGGAAAAAGAACACTAACAACTTAACTAGATCTAAACAACACCAATTCTAAAGAAACTTCACATTAAAAACACATTGATTCACGATTCTCATACTCTACCTAATTAAAACAATAACATTGTATTCTCCTTCAACTCCAATCTATTTAAGGCGGGGAAGACCAACTATGGAACATGAACAAGATTGTATAGTGAGTTTGTTGACATAAAAATGTAGGAATGATAATAAGAATGTAAAA